TTGGCAAATTAGTTTAAATTGTACATTTTTATATGGCTGTAAATAGCTTTATTTCTGAATGACAACTCTATTAAATATAACAGTTTGTAGTGGTAATACTATATGCTATCGTAAAAATTGAACTAAACTACTCGCCAGTGAAATTTATAATTGATAATGTAAACTATATTAATTATATCAGACCTGATTTCTAAAGAGACGGCATTTCATGTCACAACTCAAAATAGCAATTGCACTTTCATCGAAGACATTTACTTTCTATGTTATCCTCCGGACAAGGCGCAAAAAAACTAGTGAAAATCTTCCGTGCGTCCAAACTAGGTCTGATTTGATATACAATAATGAAATCCAACCAGTTTCATTAATTTGACAGTTGACAAGTGGTCCATGAGTTGTAAGCCAATAACAAAAAATGAAACATTACTTATGATTTACCTACATGCACGAGTATTAGAACTAATTAGTATCACAATAATTATGAGTTGGATGCATCAGTGCCTTATCCTGATTTTACTGTATAGTATATAAACTTATAATAAATAATAAATAATTATAGATCAAGTTTAAATTTATTATAATTTGAGCGTAGCTACTACAACCTTGGTTCTTTAATAATTGTACAACGTTATATTATGAAATAATCATATGACAATTATAATACACATGACAATCTGAATATAAATTATAAACTATTCTTTCTATATTGAGTACAGTTTTTTTAAGATTTTATAAGAATGGTTTTGAAATTTTTTCTTCTATTTTTCATTACTACTGATTTTGTATAATTAAGATTGTATATATTGTAACTACACTGTTATTAACAAAAGGAATTATATTTTTTAATAGTAATAATATTTGTTTATTTACTTCTAAGAAAAATTAGGCACAATAAATTATTTATAATTTTGTGGAGACTGATTCTGTACTATTTATATAGTTATTGTATTGGAGAGTCAATATAGGTGAACGATGTAGATAATTTCAGATAATTACAGTTGAATAAAAAACATCAAGATGTCAACCTTATGTATGCAATAATTCTACTCGTATTGTGTTGTAAGATGTGCTGGTTAACACAAAGTAAGTTGAGGTTACGGAGGCACGTAAAAGTAAAAAGAGGCGAGAGTCTGAGTGTGTTTGTGGTTTACACAAACTTCACTATTGAGGCGTAGATATTGCATGTACACAGTGACAATCAATAATATAAACTTTATTATTGTTATTTCTATACAGGGTTAGGCCAGATTTAAACTCACTACCTTTTATTGTCTAAGTAGGAATAGTATCCACTAGACCACAATACACTCTCACAATATTATGTTATCTGTGCTCTCACTATTACATTTAACCATGTTATGTATATATATATTAAATATGTTATGTATGTTATGTAAAGCAGTGCCTTAGATATATTTGAACGTTCACAAAACCATGAATTTCCAGTTTAGAAATAAATCTAAATGTGGTTTTGTCCATACTAATATTATTATGGGTGATTGATGTGTAGACTGTATATGGAGGATGAAAGAAACAACAGATAAAAACGGCATTAGTAAACGTATAATATGAACACGGTTCATACACTGTTCAAGAACAGTGAAAAGTACATACAAAAGTAGATACCTATAAGGTAGATATAGAATTGGTAAAAATGTGATAAAGGTTTGCAAGAATTGTAGTTGCGAAAATTTACCCTATTTGACTGTTTGTGTTGCTGCTGAACAGATCTTAATTTAATTGTCAAATGTATTGTGAACGATAGCGCGGGTAACGGATACTTATAAAATTATTTTAAATTAATTTGTGAATTAATGAAGAAAGCTTAATTAGCTTTCTTCATAAATTCACTAGATTCTGTAGCTTTTGGATATTCAATAATAGATTATCTTCGTACTTCGTATTTCTAGTAAGTACATATGTACTTTATTAATACATAATTTGATATATGAGTATATAGATAAACACTATACTTAAGTACATAATTAATATGCTAGCTAGAATATGAGGAATACTTATGCTATATTATTTTATGCGCAGATACCTGTTCGCTATACGCTTTGTATACAAAGTACATTCATGCAAAATACTAATATTAAATACAGTCTTAGGTTTCTTCTATAACTTGATTTACATGAATTTTAGGTTGCATTTGAACAATAAAAAAAAGCTATCTAAATGTATCAGTATTATTAGGATCAATGTAATAATAACCTCGTACAATACTACCTATATAAGAACTAATAGCCTCCGTTGAGTGTCATTATTGTAGGTATTGTATTTTTTTAATAAAGTATAGTTGTTATAGCAGAGCGTCATGGTTAAATTAACCACCCTAAATTACGTTCAAGAGGCCGTGAATTCAATTCTAACCTTCTAGCTGGCACTATAAAAAAAATATATTTCTGACTGAATCTCCGTAATTCATCACAATTTTACAATTACTTTTACAATACCTATCTATAAGGCTATCCCATCCGTGATAATAGTCGTGACGGTCGTGACGGGAAGTAGTAATGGGATATATTTAAAAAAGATTTAAATATATCCCATTACTACTTTATGCAAGCAAAATATTTTTATAAAAAGGTTAAATATTTTTTTAGTTTATGCATGCATATAAAAGAAATCGCACCTTTACTCTATATAAATAAGTTTTTGTAAAAAATCTAATCAGTCCTCTAAAGTTTTAGATGTAAGTTCTACATGCAAAAGTGTGGCATAATAGTAAAAAAATATCAGATATATTTCCATATACAGATATGGAATTTCATAGATCACATAGCTTCTATAACTGCAGGGTTAAACAGCTGTACCCAGAAGTATATTATCTGATTTCTCCCAGCACAAGGATATCCAAGTTTGTAAAATATTTAATTATTATATGTAAATGTATCATGACTAAAATTATTAACATGCAGGTGACAATTCTTTGTTACCCCTGGACGTTATGGTGGTTTAATTAATCCTCATAAAATTTCATACTACATGTACCGACGACATGAGCTACTTCTGGTCGTGGACAAACAAATATGCCAGCCTTTATATTTAATATATATTGAAATGTGTTATTAATAAATATATATTAAGTAAATGGAAATAATCTGTCAAGTCTACCTCCACGCGGTTCGTCTGGAAACCATCGTGGTTAAATCCTAGCAAATTCGATACGATAGACAATGATCCATTAATAACATAGGCGGGATAGGATGGTAACTTCATATATCTCAACAAAAACTATGTCTGATTATGTGTATTATATTTTATTTATTACTTTTAGACATTTTCAGGAATAACTGAAACTAACGGTACCTACTATTGTTTTACGTTATAAATAACGAGCTCTGCCGAGTTTTCTTTTGTCTATTTCGAGTGAGTAAATGCAAATAATGTTTGAGTCCTTAAAAAAACATAAAAGAATAATTAGAAAAAAACCCATTGTCGGAAAAGGTGGCTGATTACCTTAAAATTCGATTTGGTTAACCGTGACAGCTTTGTTTCGATTGTCTGCTATATTGGCTCTGGTTGGATTTCATTAATAATTAATAGCTTCTTTATATTGTAGACTGATGTGACAATGCTTGGCATGTCTCACTGTGCTAATGTTTGTTTCGTATACTTACCACATTACCTATTATACCGTTAAGTTGAAGTGCTCATATCAATAATAATATCAATAATTCTATTGTTTTCTTGGCTTTCACAATAGCAAACAAAAGGAAAATGTACAGCTTGATCATTCATAATTCTTGCCAATAATATAAATGTGTAAATGATAGATTAAAAAAATATTTTACTGTTCATCAGAAACAAGGGAAAGTTAATTGAATTTGTTCTTAGGGTCCAACTTATATCATCGTCCATACCAATATTATATTTGAGAAAGAGTATCTGTCTGTCAGTTATTTTTTCACAGCTGAACGATTATTAATGTTTGTTGCTAAGATAGATTAATAAGCCTACGTCCATGTTTTTTTTTTTATAACAAAGGGGACAAACGAGCATTCGGTTCACCAGATGGTAAGTGATTATCGCCGCCCATGAGCACCCGCAAGACCAGGGGAATTGTAATTACGTTGTCGGCCTTTTAAAAAGGAATAAGCTCTTTTCTTGAAGGTTCCATGTAAGCTTCTTTTGAAATATATCTTTACAATGGTTGGAAATTAGTTACTTAATATGAATTGCCTAAATATTAAATTCGAGATGCCGTCTAGCGAAATGTGCAGTCAGCAGTCCACAGCTACAGAATAGAGATACCTGGAGAGTTTTGGATGGAAGAAGCTTCTTGGTGGTCACAACCCTTAGCCATGAGGAAACAACAACGAAGAATAAATCTTATATTGACTATTTTTTTTTATCTGTTCTATTCCTATATAGTATACTATATAATAGTATATATAGCCTACCCGGCGAATATTGTGTTGTCAAATACATTAATATCGCTAAAATAGGGGTTTATTGGTTGAACGGTGAAAATTTAGGAGTGTATGTACTTTGTATTGCAACATCATAAGAAGAAATTGTCCACAAAACTTTGTATGACATTAAAGAAATACCAAACCACATAATTCAATATAGGTTGCTAATACATATTTTAATTTTTAATATTTATAAACTAGTTAGTGAAACTATAAACCAAACTATAATCTACTTTGTGAATTGTTATAGAGTTATTAAAATTATTAGCTAGAGTAATGACTCTAATAGACTAATGAGTCTATTGTATTTAGAAACACATATCGGTCGAAAATAGAACTTTATAGACGTACCTACATTTTCCTATATTCGAGTTTCTGTTATATAGTAAATCCAAGTGTATTTCATATAAAAAAAGGAAAATTATATGGTACTTACCATACCTATAACATTTGTATTGAAGATTTTGTACAACACTATAATATTTTGAGTTCTCTTTATTGTGTAATATAATTGTCTGTATGCTAAGATTTATACAAGTCATGAGGATTTTATTAGCGAGGTACAAATAATTAGACTACCACGAAAAATTTTTAAACACATTTATTTATATTTCAAACTCAGTCACGATCACATATCAATATCTTTCGTACAGTTTAGTTACATTATTGTATACCTACTTATTATACAATTTAAGTTAAACGTACGTTACAATCTAAAACCCACGTAATTAAGTATTTTTATTACATATTACAACTAATTACCTAGTCTCAACTGAATTACTTCTCTAATCCGAGAGCCTAACATTTACAATGTTTATAATTCTTTCTGTTTACATTAATTTCGTTATAGTAAGAATGATATGGACAAGATTTAAATAAATATTGTGCGATGATGCACCTACATGCTATGCTGGAATGTTTATTGTTGAGCGAGGCGCAGCATTTGGTAACCCGTCCTCGAACTTTCGCATCGCTGCAATGAACACCTACTCCTTACCCATCTTTATCTATAAACAATTGCTCAAAGGTCACAACACTATAATACTATGCTATATAGAAAATATAAATTCTATGTTAAGAGGCATTATCACTGGAAGGACCTCGAGGTCAAGGTAACTTAATATTTGGTTATGTTACGCATTACTATAATTAAAGTCAGTCCGAGTGTCGCATAATGAACAGTGGATTTCAGGGTCAGGGTCACGATTGGACCGAGACCGAGAACCTCGGCGTGGACTAGGCAAGCAGGAAGCTGACTGCGACCATAAGCAGCGATGCACCCACTGTGGGCATCATCGCCGCGCTGTATTGTATCGATGTTAGATCGTTACCGAATACGTAACTCTTCGATCCCGTAAAACTCTTCAGGATTCTATAATTAACTTCCTTCAGTGACACCTGTTGTTTCACAAAGTTGAACAGTCTGTTTACAACCACGTATGTGTTGCCTTGATTATCAAATGTAAAACGGTCGATCCACTGGATGTAAGTAGGATCGCGAGCAATCGTTCGTTGACCTGTACGGAAATCAGTGGTTGTATTCCATTCCGCAATAGTCGAGTTTCCTATTAGACCGAAAAATAGCACCCCTGTCGAGTCCATCTTCATACCGTCGGTCTGTGAAGCCTTTGTACCCAAGTCAACTACATAAGGACGAAGATCATTTTTGTTATTTTGAGCCAAAGATTCATTGCGTAAAACAGAAGCATTAATTGCATATAAATTAAAACTGGAAAGCGGGCTGTAGTAAACAGTCCTATCGACCTTGTCGTCGTTTCTTTTGAACTGCGGGCCCAAAGCAATACCGTCGATGTTCACTGGTAAATTTACATTGGTTCCATTGATGCGGAAAAATGTTGCTTCAGGCACTGACATCATTGACTGACTGTCGCGAAGTTTCCAAGACTTCTTGTCACTTCTACGGAAAACTATTATACCTGGATCTACTGCGCTGTTGTCTGTAATATAAGCATAATCACCATCCCTGTTGTCTACGACGAGATCATTTAAATAAGTAGTATTGGGGTTCACTATTTCCGGTGGAAAAGGAATGCGTTCCATTTCATTTTTTCCTGACTTTAAATCAATTAAAACAATTGACGGCGGGCATTTAGAGTCAGGGGTCGGCGTAAGTGTACCTACACGGCCGTTGTCTAAAATCCACATGATACCGTTTCGGTCGATTTCAACATTTTGCACAAATTGCAACGCACTGCAGTTGCCGATTACGTTTTCATTCCAACTTGGGAACGGTTTCAGTTTTGGAGCAGTGTTGTTTTGCTTGACCGGAATCGTGGCAAGGGTTGCCGGTACCCCGTCCAGCAGCCTCGGCATCGTCAGGAACAGGTTTTCTCCGTAGAAGTTTATTCCAGATATTAGAACGTTTTGTGGTATGTATCGGCTGGTATTGAGGAAGGCCTCTTGTTGTTCCTGAGAGTCCCATTCGTAATCGATGTAGGTCCATTCGTAGATAACTCGGAACTGTTCGCGGCGCACTGCCGCTGTTGTGAGCGTTCGTGCTGGTTGCGTGTCGTTTTGTGCGGCCGCTGCGGCGAGGGCAATAAGGAACACCAACAGCATCATGGTTGGCTGCGCGTCGAAGAACGTGTGGCGCGGACGGCGCGAACGATGCGACTAACTCCGAAGTACGGCCACGAAATAGCACTGGCTTCAAAGAGCGGAGCTTCGCGCGTGACCATATCACTACGTCACTGAAGATGCGGAATAAACAATTGTTCCCGGTATTAAGATACTATATTTAAATTTCTTAAAATCCGTATTCTATTGTTTGTAGGCAAACATGACCCTTATGTCTAGTTTAACGAGGAAACGACGGGTTGTTATAGAGATTAAATTATAGCAACCAATTGTTGTGCAAAGGGTGTGCGAAGGTCGTAGCACTCACCCCTATCCAGACGGAGGGTCTGTCTGGCCGATCTGTAGCTACTTACAATAGTTACAAATGTAACAACGGGTTTTGTTAAGGAAATCGATTTGAGATTCATTTTAAAACATCTGTTGCTGGTACCTTTAAATTTATTTAATAAATTACATACATATTAATATTTCATTACGGCGGTAATAGTGAATCCAACTATTGATTTGTTAGTTTTGTCCTCCACTATTTTTCTAACTTTATAGAAATACAAATTTTTAGTACATCGATGCTGTTTGTAAATCGTAAAAATGATGAATTATTTGGATACAATTTCACAGAGTAATATAAGAGTATAATATGTTACAAACACTTAAACGTCCAATAAACAATATTCATAATGACCAGTACAGTTACTACTGGTCACTATGAATATTGTGGGCACACATCTTTTTCAAAAACTGCTAAAACCATTCATTTGCATTTATGTAAATGTCTTTCATAGAAAATAACAAAACTGAAATTAACGTACAATATATTCTAGAGAATATTCCATATTCAGTTCATAAATTCAACTTCATTTTAAATGCATACAAATATCGATGAGTTATAATTTGCTTTGATTTAGTTGATTGGGTTTATTTGTGGAGGACGGGTTGCTCTCGTATTTGCCACCCATGGTCATTGGTTTCTATTTATTAAATATTATACATTCTGACAAAACTCTTGCGAATAATTTTTTTGTTAGATTTAGTGTTACTAATGGAATATCATTGCCATTTTGCGACCATGGTGGTCGAGCGGTCTAGCACACCGCTTTACGACCGATGGTCGCGGGCACGATTCCTCGCACGGCGCAAACATTTGTATTCATGTGTATAATTGTTTGTATCGGTATGGGTGTTTTCTATGTATAATATGTATGTATTTACAAAAAAAAAACTATGTATATGTATCAGTTATCTAGTGCCTACTCATAACACAAGCTTTAGCTAGCTTAACTTGCTAGCTAAAATTGTTCTGAGATTATCATTATTATTATATATTAAATTTCACCTGTATTGCTATAACATGTAGATTATTATCTAAGTTTAATAAATTAGGACACAAACGTAATATGTACCTGAATAGATTTTAATATTAATTATTAAATTGCACCGCCTTATTACCTCTGATCAAAGCGACGGTTGCCTGGTAGACAATGCCATTAGGCATTAAGTCCAGTATGTGTACAATTTTGTGTGCAAAAGAATAAATAAATAAATAAATTTCATTTTCCAGCTAATATGATGTTATACATATATCTATGTATATCATATCATATATCATATTAGCTGGAATACATAAATGACATAATTTTATATTAAATTGAATATGATTTAATTTGAATATTTGCATACCTCTAAAGGGTGCTGCATGTCATGTACTTTTATTAGTTAATAAGATCCGAAACTACCATGTAGCAAGCAAATAAATAAATTATTATTATTATAATAATTATGAAAGAAGAGCTAACAGCCAATCGCAAGGATCTCACATAGTTATGTCGAACCACTCTATATTTTAGGTGACCGCTATTTTCACTTAACGTTGACGAAAAATTCTAACTTCAATGTTTTGTTCAATAAGCATGATAAAACATTGTAAGATCCCGTTATTATTCAACAGCATAGTTTATGGCTTAAAAACAGAATACAAAAATAAATAATAGTTATTATGAATCACTCTAAATTGTAATTAAATAGAATAATATATACGTGATCATGAAGAAGAACTTCTATCAAATTAAAAAATTCTATCAAATGAAACTAAGGAGACAAACTGAAAGATATATACGTGTGTATATAATAGAATTTCTCTATTATAAATGCGTAACTAAACATAATGAAGAAACAAACTCGTTTCTTTATTATTTTTTAATAAATTAACGCCTTAACCAAATTATCGTACATCGTAGCATTTGGGTTAGTTGAAGTATTTAAACGATCATGGTCAGAAACAGTATTTTTATGTTTGCCTGGATAATTCACATAGCGCCATCTAGTCCCAAACTAAGCAGAGCGTACATATACATTTTTGTAAATACATACATAATATACATAGATGACATTTAGACTGACACAAAGAAACATATCCATGAATATATGTGTTTGTACCGTACGAGGAATCGAACCCGTGACCATCAGAAGTAAAACCGCGGACCCACTCTGGCCGTCATAATGTAACGACGAGTTAACTGTGTAGTTGACATGTTAGTGTTAAGAGCTACTTTCGTCTATAACCTGAGGATGTTATTATTAGTCCTTTGAGAATGCTCTGTCCATTATTGGATCGCCAGTCTTTCTGAATAACTCCACATGAACACTTTTGGCTTTGCAATGGTCAATGTTAGTAGTCCATGGAGTGATAAGATTGTTTTTGCACTGTGACATAATGATTATACGATTATATCTATCAGTATCATCATACTAAACCAAATATGAAATTTACCTAAGTTAAATTTGATTTCTATTTTATTAAACCTTATTTTTAATACGTGACAATCTTTCTTCGGAGATCGGAGAGAGTGACACATTACTAGAATGGTACTTTTGTTACGGCACTGTTTGCTGTGGTCTCTGCCTCTGACACTTGCTAGCACTGGGCATAGCAAGAACAAGCGAAACATGTGTATCTCTAATTCTAATCTAATTTTAGTTATTTATATTATATTATCAACACGAGTAAATCGAAGCTAAGTAAGTACGAATTCGAATAGTTTAGGGATTCCCCGGTAATAAACTACTCTACTGTAGGTAAGTACTTATTATGTTCTGGAATAAAAATAATAGAAGTAACTAATTAGGAAATAGCATAGACACAACAAACTTTATTTCATGTTATAACAGCTACCTGCCTCGACTTTGCACGGGTGTACTTATATTAGACACTAAACTCTCTCTTTAATCATCTATTTATTGCTAAAATCTGCATTGAAATCCGTTGCGTAGTTTAAAAGATACTGCAAGATGATAAGCAAACAGACACTGGAAGCGACCACATTTTATATAATATAAAGATTAGAATAGTTGTTAGCGACATATGTCTTTGTACCTATTGCGTATAATTTCTACGAGTTATTTAAATTTATTTCCCTATATTTAAAATAAAATATATAACATAAATAAAGACTATTGTATACTGATTACAAGATGCGATATTCGTTTACGTAGAATATTTCTGGCTGTAAAGATTTGTATTAACAATTTTTAATTGTGACGGGTTAAAAAAATATAATTTTACAGTTGTGTGCAGACTATTTAATAGTTACTCGCATCTGCAATCTTCAAATAGTTCTTAGAAAATCGCTATCTATTCTGTTACAATAAACAGTTGCTAATAATACCTTTACATAACTGGTACCTTGTGAGAGACATATGTTACTAAACGCCTGTTTATTTAAGACAGTGGTAGTAGCACATGCCGTGACGCCGCAATATTTATGATGTGTTGTTTTATTCTGTCTGGCGTTAGAACAATGAATTCTTGAGTATGAGATATTAACTGTACGAACACAATTTCCAGCCAATGTGATCTCTAATGAATTCGAGAATTATCATACCATCTCAGATCATGCATTTGTCGCAAATTATTATTGCAGGCACTTTTATAAAGTACCACAAAGTTAATATGTACTCAGTTGAGTGACATGGTAGAGTCGCTCGTGACAGATAAATAATAGAAATGCATAGTAATCATCATTAACAAAAACATTATTTATATATTTTTTAATTTAGTGTAGTGTATGACACACTCCATTACTATTTAGCATTTACGAGTAAAGATTAGTCGTAGAAGTTAATAAGTCAGCTGATTTATTTAAAGAAATTTAAACACATGCCATATTTCTCGATGGATTTTTGTGCATATTATTGATGAAGTATATAGGAAAAGAACAATAGTGTGACATATTTGACTTTGGTTTTGTCATAGTTTGTCGTTCCTTATTATTAATCATTGTCTATGTAGAGTACGTCCATACAGAGAGAACAGCGCCATCTATATTTTCTTGCACCTATAGTCCGTTGTGGCGCCATCTAGTATATAATAGTGAAACTATAACAAACTAGTAGAATATAGTAGTAGATACACAAATATATAACAGATGGCAGCAATGGAAACAGTGTATACTCTATTTTTAATATTTATATAATCAAAATACATGTAGTATATTCGTATAATAGTTATAACAAATAAATAATTTAGACAATATAAAAATGTATAACAATTTTCTAATATCTAAATTATTTAATTTATAATAGGATTATCAAGTAGTATTAAAGTATTTCAATAATTAAGTAACATCCCGTATGGTCTAGTGGCTAGGATACCTGGCTTTCACCCAGGAGGCTCGGGTTCGATTCCCGGTACGGGAAACCATTTTTTATATTTATGTTTATTTTTCTATTAATAATAATATCTAAAGCATACATGCTATCTTCATTCCAGGCATCTTCAACGGTGGGCAGAGAGGTTTTTATTATTCGTTTAATTTTATTTTACAATGAATATCGTACAGACACCGGGGATCATAAATGTCGGTTTCGATGACTCTTGGCTCCTCATTCCGACTCTATATTCTGATCAAAATTGGTTATTCTTTTTTTCCCCGCCCACTCGACGTGCATCCAGCCATATCATAAGCATATCTGCTTTGTAAATCTGACATTTGTTTCCGCATACCAAACAAGTCTTTCCTCATGAATATCGTATTTAACAGACAACCGATTAATTAATAATATGTCGGTTTCGATAAAGACTCTTGGCTCTGACAGTAGCAATCCGACTCTATATTGTGATCAAAATTGACGTTATTCTTTTTTTAGCCCCAACACCGCCCACTCGACGTGCATCCAGAGCCATATCATAGTTGGGTATATTGTATATTTGCATATTGCTTTGTAAATCCCCAACCAAGCATGTCAAGCCAAAGCTTGTCTCCAAGAAAGAAGAGACCATGACATTTGTTTCCGCATACCAAACAAGTCTTTCCTCATGTTAATAAAATATTTGCAAATATTTAACACCAGTACAACACTGATTAATTATGTAAATAATATTTGTCCTATGGTAAAATACCTTATTTGTAATAAAGTATTTTGCATTAAAAATACGACTATAAGGTGGTTCTCGTGTGTAATGGAACGACCTTTAGTTAAATGGGTGAAGATATTATAAATATATTTCATGACTTTCTCTGGGGAACAGTCAGCAGTGTATTACTGATGTAGAATCATAAAGAGTTACTTTAAAAACTTAAGCTTATCGGATTTATTTTATTAATTTCATCAATATATTCATTGTAATGCGCTATATCATACATATTGTTATGAATGTATATTACATTTAATCGTTTCCAACCCTGACGAATGCCAAAGCCAAATGGCCACGTGCAACTTTGATAGTGACGTTCAAGTCCAAACGAAAACGTGACTATACAAAGCATTGCTGGAAGAATGAAACAAACTTTACTATTGTAACAAACATCGCTCTGAACTCGTGTTAATGCCTGCAATACGTTGTGTTTTCCAGTCATAATATTTACGTTGTGGGCTCTTTGTTATTACAATGCTATACGTTTACTATGGTCGAACAAAAATAGATGTAGCTTTTCAACAGGGAATGTAAATTATGAAGCGTTACTATGTGATGACAGTACAGATTTATCGAATACAAATTAGAAAAGACAACACAAAGTATGTCCACATACTGAAATCCTTTATATACTTATGAAAACCATATTAAAGCAGGATATTTTATAACTGCTATTGGACATTTAATTCATAAATTAAAGATATTTTCTTTAATTTTATATTAATTTAACATTCTTATTTTATATACATACATCAAAATAAATAAAAGTGGATAAGCAGTATGTATATGTTCCACGAAAATATTTCATTTTATCTTTTTCAAATGCACATATTACTGCATATATAAATAAAAACAGTTACTTCCAATAGTTTATATATTTTAGGTAGATTAGTGGCAATATACGTTTTAAGCAGAAATCACAGAAGATTTTTCTTTATACCTACCTATATCACTGGCTACTAAAGCTCTTTACAAAGTTATCTGCGACCAGGCTTACTTCGAAAATTGTGTTTAAATTTGAAAGGGCAGAACGTGTGACAGAGAAATTATAGGTCGGGGTAAAGAGGCATGACTCCATAATTTTCAGGAATGGCTACCTGTTAGAGATACTCTAGCGTCCCATGACATCTAAGCTGATGTTCAGGATGATACTTATTATTTTCTTGATGGAAGCTAGCAGGTGTTTGTTATTCTAACTAATCATAAATCCAAAAAATAGCTACTATCAATCAAAACGAACTGCGTGTGGTCTAAGCATAATAGATGAGTCTCGTAAAACTCTACCACAAAGATTTACTCTTATTTTTTGTTCTTGTGAGTCATATTATACTATACAGTTACTCATTATCTACATTAGGTACTACCGTCGTTTCTCTCAATGTTAGTAGGTATTTTCCATATGAGTCATCTTTTATTTATTTATTTACATTTAGGTAAGTATTACAATGGTAGAGTCATTAACTTAAAGTACCTAACCTAAGATATTACATGAATTTTATAATGAAGTCATTACTTAAAATGTACACAACTAATACTCAAAGACATAACTCACTGAAGCACAAATGTTACAGCTTTTCACGATTCTAAATTAAATTATCCTGTAATAGCATAGAATTTCATTTCCCTAACATTGAAGATTAACATATCTTCTTGTAATATTTATTATTAAGTGTAATAGTAGTTTACGCCCTTTAAGTTGCACTGACTTGAAAAAATAACTTATGATAATATGTCTTTAAAACGAAATATCGTAATGTCAATAGTATGATATTGATAAGGATAATAGGTAAAAGGATTTTCCATACTCAAGTTGCAAATGTTTAAAGAGAACCTTTTGCTTCCCTGATTAATATATTAATCGTAATTACTAGTTTAGTTAGAGATCCCTATGAGTTAGAAACATATATAATAGTAGCATTTTTATTGATATCTATTGTTCCATTTGGGGAAAGTTTAAATAAAGGAAACATTTGTATAATGAAAACACATTACAACCCACGGCTTTATTCATGTCAATTGGATGCAAAGTATTCTGAGTGTTATTCTAGGATGTGTTCCATCTGTGTACTAAATTGTATTGAAACGTATACAGGCTTTGTTTATTTAGGTAATCTTTTAGGGAAATAGCACCAATACCAACATAATACACAAGTGACTTTGTGTATTATGTAGTTATTGGTAGTTCAATTCATTTAAGTCCAAAGATAGGCAGTTATTTATACTCTTAACTGTGGTAGTAGGTGTGTTATGGGTACAATAGATAACTCATAAAAATACATATATATATATATATATATATATATAGATATTTTTCGTAAATACATACATAGAAAACACACAGACGGACCTAAACAATCATACTCATGAATACATATGTTAGGTACATATGTATGCCGTGCGAGGAATCGGACCCGCGACCATCGGAACTATGACGGTGTGTTAAACCGCTAGACCACCAAGGCTGTCACAAATAAAAATAATAAAATAATTTAGAATACATATTGTCAATGCACCACCTGTCATATTGTAGCAATATTGCTTCAACCTATATTGAATTCATGTGTTTGAAAGAATTTGGAACGGCCATTATATTAATGGAAATATAATAATGTGCAAGTCGACTTTCCCTCAGTACAGTATTTACGAAGAAACATTTGTTAACATGTTGCAATAACTGCATGAAAGAAAGTTCGAAATTATTTAAGTACGCCTAACTTAACATCATGAAGATGTAGGTGTGATTTCTTATATCGCGACATTGTTACGTAGATATTCATGGCAGTACCTACTTTATTTTAATTAAACATAAGAAAGTGTTTCAAACCGCATTCCAGCAGGGTTTTCGTCAAGTCGATGATATGTCACTAATATTGGACTTTGATTTCCTCGAGCAATAATTGCCTAAATGGACATCTGGGACAATTTCTTAAACGATATAAAATATTAAATATCGTGAATTCTTTTCACGTTTCCTATTTTTTTTTATTATGTGATGACGTATTTTAATTTAGTTACCGCCATACCTATTGGATACGCGTTAGATAACAGTTCCAATGAAACGTTCCACGAGCCTTCCATCATCACACCTCGCCGTATTTATTTTTTAACGGCTGCGAATATACATTGTAGGATTTAACATCATTCAGCCAGTCACTGGCAGTCACTGTTCGGACAACATACGAACGGCATTCGCGCCGCGCGCAGCCCACATATTTCCCGCCGCGAATTTAAAACGTGTTCTATTAATCAAATTTCTATTACAACTTTTGTTATTGTTCAAAATTATATAATGCCTAAAAAGAAATAAATTTACCACAAATAGCGTTATATTTAAAAAAAATTCTGGATAATGCGCGAAACTGTGAAATCGTGTTAATAAAATTGAGGACTGCATAAAGTGCCGTTTTCGTAAATAATATTTCTGTGATACGTTGCTGTGACATTTTAACCAGTGTGTGACTTGACTTACTTTTTATTATTATTACGTTTCGTGAAATTGTATTTCGCGAAACATTTAAATAAATATTCTTTATGATAGGTCCATATATGAAGGTGAGTTTATGTTTGCATTTTTGACATTATCTAAATGAGTTTTAGGTTATCTGCCAGTATAGATAATACTTAACGTAACCTACATTATCGCAGTACCGTCTGCTTCAATAGATTGGGTTGTTTAGAAAAATCGGGTTAGGTTATGTATCTATGTACATGTGAGACGTGAAAATATTAGGCACATTGATTTTAGAATAAAAAGTATAATCCATCACATTTAAAATTAGTATTCTTGTTACTAAATAACAGTTGTCTTGCGTGCAACTGTGATGAAAACTCGATTAAATGATATTTACTACTGTACAGGCATTGAATAATTCGATCAGAAAATTGGATGACTTTTTGATTTTTGAATTGTACTAGGTATTCTAGGTATTTTTATTTTATTGCCGTTTTCGCACCGTTTTTAATAATACATTAGCAATATGTCGATCACTCCTGGGTTGTTATTAAGTAAATGTGACAATAATTAGTTGTATATTATTCATAATGTAATTTGCTTGTATATAATTATTCAATGTTTAAATTTACTACTATAGTATTACTAAAGTTTCTTAAATCCATTGAATTTTTTGCAACTGTAAACGACCCGGTGTACATGACACAGGAATTCAGACCTAAAACTTGTTGGGTTAAAAATACCTGCTATATATTAATCCTAATGGCATTTTCTATTTAGTATGGACCCAAGTTAAAATTATTATAATATCTGTATAAAATTAATGTTGCTCTTGTCATGACCTCCAGAGACAAGAGACGTTATACGCATTTGTCTGCGGGAGAAAATTCTTTTTTTGAACATCTGAACGGGTAGGATTAATTGAACACGCAATTTTATTTATCGCATATTGTGTGTGAATAAAGTACCCCGAAGACTCTTCCTCGTTTACGGAGACCTTAAAACAGAGAACCCTTTTCACTAAACTAAATTATAAAGTTACTATTGGATTTAATTAGATCCGTTCCACTAAATCACAATAGTTGCATTCATATATCTATTGCAACGCATGTAGTGACTTTATGTCAAGTGCAAAGTTTGCGTCTTAAAACTCAAATTTAAATTCTGTAATAATATTCAACGATTTTTATTCTTGATATTGAGGATATTGTTCTCAGTAGACAGAAAGTAAGGTATATAATAAATAAAGTATAATTAAAATCCTTTAGTAATTAAAATACATATTACCAGACAATAACACGTTTTAGGATACATAAATGTATTAAGTATGTCTTTTTAGACTCTTATTCGTAATATGTATGAACTCGGCATCTGTTTTTAATTACTTTCAATTTTAATTACTGCTCCAAAGCAATTTTGATTTTACTAATACTACTAATTAGCAAGTTCTTATTGCGCACTAATCTAACCTAATCCTTTTCATTCTGGAAATAAATAAATTATCGAAACAGTTGTAATTGTATCTACTAAACTATTACATATGATAAAACATTTTCAAAATTAATTCGTTTTCTATGTAATTACTTATAGGTGTAGTCGAAGAAACATTTTTGGCCATTTCTCAAGAACGCCATCAGCTTCAAATAAATAAACTACCCGTGTAATATTTTTCTTTCATCGCCTTTTACAAGTGTTCGTAGAAGAACAGTACAATGTAGTAAGTAGGCGGGTATGACTATGGTAGTAGGTATACGCAATTCATAAGTACATTAGTCGCGGTCGGTTTCCCGTTTGAGTAGTGTTGATACCAATTTATTTTTTATCAGTTTTTCTATTTCCTCTGAGTAGTTACGATTGGTATTTTCTGTTAACAATGACTCGTTATGCGGATACATTTTTAAATTTTAATTTAATTTAGATTAATCCAGCGATCAAAAATACGTATTTATGCCCCGTATGTACAGTACATGATGTAGTCACACCACCCTGTGACTACACCATGTACTGAAACTACAATATTAAACACATGGTTGATATGAGTACTTCTACGAGGAAGACTGTGAAAATACTTATTTCGACGTGGGTCAGTCCTCCTCAGTCTATTTCGGCACCCAAGACGATTATTTGGAAGCTGTGTTTCTGTTGAAGGGTAAAATAAGACAGTGAAATTACAGGATAAGATGCATGACATCATGGAATGATAACGCATGAGTGGTATTATGAGCAAAACATTATAATAGTACATTCGTTCATGTATATGTAAATAGAAAACGAAACATAAAAGTAATTGATATTTAATTTATGTTTGAAAATCTCAGGCTGCCTACTGAATAACGTGCGAGTGATTGGGGGTAATAATATGTAAAAAAAATCAGTCAATAACACATACATATTGCTATGCAATGTCCAATAAAGTTATGTTATCACTCTAATCAGAGGAAGGTGGGTGGTCATCACGTTCATTTGCGTATTTATCAAAATTATTGTTTTTATCTATTAATTAAAATTTATTAATTTGGCCATGGAATAAATGAACGACTTAATTCCATTAAAAACCTAACAGAAGCAGAAATATTTAATAAAATCAATAGATAATTAATGAAGAAATATTGTGTAATATAAATACATACATAGCAAAAATGCAGTCCTTTCTTATGAATTCGGTTGCAAAGTAAAGAATTATCATTAAGATATACATGAGTCATAGTTAATTTTATACTGCGGTAATATCGGTATCTACTGGCCACCTTCTCAGATCAGCGAATGGATGTTCGCTGTTCTTAGAAGTTTCGGTAACAAAAAATACACCTACAAAGCAGGTTTTTTATCTTAATATATTAAGAATAATATGTAAAGCCAAAAGTGAGTCATCGATACTTCATTACGATAGAGGTCGCTAACTTAACCGTCTACGGGCGCTACGTCATTAACGGTTTTATCTTCTAGCCTCATATAAAATTGTCGGTAGTTATCAACCCACCACAGGGTTTCCAAATATAGAAACATAAAACAGAAGTGACATTACGTTACTAATTTTAATGCATTCCGCAAACAAATTTTCTAAAGTTATTTCATTACAGTAATTCTAAATGATATACTATTCAGTTTATTATTGGCGCCGCATTCAAGTTTTGTGTGATTAGTTTCACGGCACTGTTACACGATGAAATTAGATGCATGACACTAGTTTAAAATGTCGCACTGAGTACTGAACTATTTTGGTTTCGTGAAACATGTTTTTTGTGTATACCTAATTACACTGCTAATAACTAATTGCATTTTATACATATATTGTACTTGTTAAAATTGTATTTCTTCTAAATCTGTCACATACTTATTTGTTGTTTTTCCTGCGCCTCTGCTTTATTCAACAGTATTATTTAAAATGTCAATTTGCGTGTCCTGGAACAAGTTTCTTAATTTGAATTTGACTTGTATAAAATAAAGTTTTCTATTCTTAATTATTTTATTTTAGACGGCAATGAAATTCCATGAACTGTCATATTTTTTGTTTCATATTGATTTCGTTATTTCTCAGCTGTTCATCCGAAACGTATAAAAACCTCTTTGTTTATTTTCCTTGTACAATGACAAGAACGATATTTGACAAAAATATTTTTCCCCATTTCGTAATCGAAACATTACCTACGTTTTTACGTAAATTTAGAATGACTAAAATATTGGTAATTCAATTCTGAAGCATTATTTTTACATTGAAAAGTAGTAATACATATTTTCATGATGGAAATCACGTGTATGTAGATCTATAGTATGTATATCATTTCTATCTAATTGATTACGTAAAGAATTGCTTAGAATTGTCATAGATTATATTGTTATAGATTTTTAAATATATATTTAAAATGAATCAACTACCAAAGAGTACAACGTTATATATTAAAGTATTAAAGATGTCATCGTATGGTTCCTGTCTCTTCAGAGGTAGAGTCATTAAATGCTTTTTGGTTTTCGCGAGAAAGAGATATATTCATATACACACAGTAGACAGTTAGGCAGACAATTGATGAAGATGCGGTTTTTTCTTCTGTTTCCATTATCATTTCACACAAAATAAATACTTTTCTCCACAAAGTATTCACACAATTTAAGTGTGACAGAGCCATTTGGGTATATGAATTTAATGTTAAAATGCAAATTTGTGGAGACTGGTGCCTATACTACGTATCCGAAAATCCTGTATAATGGATCACCAGGCCTAAAAATATCTTCTGTCTAACTCACAAAAAACATTACTAGTAATAAGAGGTATATACCTACTTTGTTTGATCATTGTAACAAAGTAGCTGTTTCCCGTCGCTTTGTCTACTCTTTTTAATACATTTCATGTATTTTAATTTCATTAAGATCCGTTTAGCCGTTTAATCCTGGAAATACAGATAATGATCTTTAATGAAATAGATAATAGATAGGTTCTGCTATAAAATTAATATAAAAATTATTCCAAACTATCAGGAAATTATAAAATAGATTCGGAATTAATATGACATACGACACTATTACCAATGTAAAAATATAATTGTAAAATTACAAATTATTTATAACTTACTTGTACCTATATTATATATGCACAAGTGTTGGGTGTAATTTCTAAACAATATGGTTGTATAAAAAATATCAGCATATAAAATGACGAATGTGTATACTAAAATTGATGATTAAACAATGCAATGGCCTAGTCCTCAATGAATAATTAAAAAGTGACGTAAGCATAGCTAACTGCATTGAGTAAAAAAGACAGTTTGAGACTACTATACCAGATGTACTAATAATAATAAGTATAAAATATATACATTTATAATAAAATTAAATTAAAATACTTTGAAAATAAAATATTTATCATAATGAAATGTATACATTAGTGGCTATATCAAAACAAACACGACGCGTTCGATGTTGGTGTTTATGAGCTTGAATTTATGAAGCGGTTCAATTATTAAATTGCGTCTATGATTGATTATCTTTTGATTGAAGTGAAACGTCTATATAACTATTATATAGCATAATACATTTGTATTCCGAAAGTACCACAGTTATGGACAAAGATGCAGACAACCTATGTAGTTCTATACTAGTATATAAA